GCATATTATAATACTCGGAGATTTCAACTCACATATCCGATCAAACAAAAAACAATTCACTCTTTTAACTAATCTTTTTTCATAAGTTCCTAGTTATTTTCATCTGGAATTTCAATTGTGAAAGTTTTCATCTCATCAAATCTTATAGGTTTGACTTTGTAATCTGCAAGCATCTCTTTGTGAAAATTTGGGTTCTGAATAACAATCTCCACAACTCTCCTTATGATAAGAAATTCTTTACATTCATCAGCTATTGCTGCATGCTAATCTTCTTTAAACAAGTAGAGATAAGAAAACTCTAGTTGATCAGGTGTAGCAAGATTACAAATCATTTTTTTGTATTTAGAGTTTAGAAGATTTTTTTTAAAAATTTTTTTTAAGTTTGATGAAAAAGAGAGTTTTTCAAATAGAAAGTATATTGGTTGTAGATAGTTTGCTTTTATATTAGTTTTATGTAGAAAAGTTTGTAATATATATAGATAATTTTGGATTTATATTTATATAAATTTAAAATAGAATTTTAATATAGAAACTTCTAATGATTTATCTAAATTTGTATTGATTAAATTATTTTGAACAAATAAACTATTTTTTATACAAAAAAAATTTCCTGTTGCAATATTTTAAATGATCAACAGAATATTTTTGGTCAAGTATAATACAAAAAATTTTAACATTTATTCTTATTTGTAACATCAATAAAAAAATTATAAACAATTTTAAAATCATTTTAAAATGTAAAAAAAATTTTAGATTATCAAGTTTTTAATCTTTATATATACTTTTTTGGTTAACTTTATAATATATACTATATTTGGTTTCATTCTCAGTATCATATGATTATTTGAAATTCTTTGTTCTAATTTCTTACATAAATCTTGGTTTGGATTTTTTTGAACGATTAAATCTACATTTAATTAAATTTTCTTTTTATACAAAATAACAAAATTTAAAAACAAAAATATGAATAAAATTTTAAAATCTCAACAAAAATCATATCAAAAAACAAATTTTTTATTTGAAATACAAAATTACAAATTAAACAATTTCTTAACAAAATTGAAAATTTTAATATCGAAGAAAAAAATCTTTTTCTTATCTTTACAAGAAAGAGAATATTAAAATTTATTTTATTTTAAGGTATTTTTTTTATCTTTACAATAAGAAATTATTTTTTTTTCATTATTAAGGCCACTTCCTTGGCTGATTAGATTTTTATTAGTTTGTTATTGTAGAACTATTATATAAATAGTTTCTTAAGGTTTTACAGTTATATGATGAGTGTATAACAAGCTACACACAACTTTAGTCATTGTCTAATTTAAGTAGTCTGCCATACAGACGATCAACCATCTGTTGGTTCTACACTATGCTGCCATACCTGCAACCTGCCTATGAGTTACCTATTTAAACACTCTGATCATTAACCCTTCCCTCCATCCCAAACTAATGTCACCACTATGACCAACTGC